AAAATGTGAACATTTCTGAATCACTTCTGATGGATACTGATGGTTCACAAAATATTGATAAATACAGCTTTGAGCTTCGCCTAATGGTCTCAATGAACCTGCTACTTAGATTAACTTTTTATTCTTAAATTGGATTGTGCGGAAAAATAGCACATTAAGATAGGAAGCATTTTTAACAAGATATTCCTCTGTTTTTTGCAATTTCTTGTATATGTATGATGTTTTAATATTAAATCACGGAACAAAATTATTATATGGAAATGCGTTCTATTGAGAACAGAATTTGTTTCTTTAGCCGTCATATATCTATATACACACACACACACAAGTGTGAATCTTTTGTAATGCCTTCATATCTCTCTCTCTCTCTATAGACATATATGTTTAGTTCTGTTGTGTTGCAAATATAAAAATATGTAGACTTACGAGGAAATTGGAATGCACACCTAAGGACAAACAAGCTTTTATATAACAAGTTTCACTGTATTTTTACTTTTGCACAATATTATACATAGAAACAAAAACCTGCTGGTTTATAGAAAAGAGCAAGTAAGTTTTAAGTAGGTGGTGGGTTTGGGTTTTTTTTTTGGGGGGGGGAGTAGTTTTTGTTTTGTTTTACATATGAAGAAACCAATTAATCTTCCACAAAAAAAAAATCTGTAGGCCATTTACATTTTTTTCCGAGTTGTTTGAAGTTTGAATTTTCTCCTCCACTGCATTTTAATCTCATTTCTAATCCCTTAGACCCCTTGATCAGTTCCTTAACGGCTTGCATTTGTCGCAAACACCTTGGTATTTTTGTTTTTATTTCTGATAAAAAGCCATATCTAATGCACGAAAATGTGAATAGATATTAAGAAATCCCAGTGAATTCTTTGACACTATGGAGACTACTTCTAATTTTAACAGAGGAAAAATCTTTCCAGAAAGAGCTGTGTAATAATAGTACGGTTTCCTTTGATTTCTTTCTTCTTTTAAATACTATTAATGTTCACGTGTTTTGCTGTCATAGCCTCTTAGTAACTATGATTAGTTTGCAGTAGGATTTTTCTCAGCTTAACTCAGTTCTGATGTGTGAGAAGCTGTATGACAGATGATGTGATGTGGGAAGGAAAGCTTGCCCAGCTTGTTGAGGTCATATGACCTCAACAAACGCATTTTGAGTACAGTCATATGATGGGATGGTGGAGAGACTATCCTACTGCAGGCTGCTGCATGGGTGTCTGTCTATGAACATTGTCTTTCAGTAGGAGCTCTCTGAGCTTTTGGGGGTCACTGAAAGTATGGGTTTGCCTGCAGCAGGATAACTTTTTCCAACCAGAAAGAAGCTGCTTGCCCTCTTAATGCATGAGATATCTGAGGCACACAGTGGGCCAGGAGAAATGAGTCGTCTTGTGCCAGAGGAATGAGACATGATAAATCTGTATCACATACAAATTAGGAATAAGGTGTTAGCGTTGTATTTTACCTCCCTTTAGTTCAATTGCTAGCTGAAAGGACAGAGGAGGAACTGAAAGCATGAGGCCCGTGGTGAGTACAGATTATCAGTAGTCCTCAACCCAGTAGTGGAAAATCTCTGATCTGTGGTCTTTTCTGCTTTGATTTTTTTGAGGAAATGTCCATTTGCCCCAAATCTTTGCACTTCAAAAATTTTATTTTCCCTTTCGTGTTCCTTAGGTCACTGAATATTATCATTTTTCCCAAAGATCCTTTTATTTTTAAAACTTTTATGTATTTTATGGATCAGACTTCTAAAGCAACCAGTTCCCAGTAGGCTAAAAACCACAAAGGAGGTGGCATATGTTTATATAAAAGACACCTCTATCTAGAATTTATACCTATAAGTCTTGCTTAGTGGCATCTCCTACAAAGAGAGTACATTTATGATTAATTTTGCAGGATTGCCACTTGAACTCCCTCTATACTTTAACCATGAATTATGAAAACTGCTGCTTCTGGTAGCTCAATCCTGATTGATCCGATCAGTCCTTTTCAAAAAGTCGGTTCATTACCAGTGTATGTTCTGAAATTGATGATGAGTGTGGCAGCCTCTTGAGTGGTTGATAGTTGATTGAAATAGTTGTGGTGTATATTTTTACAAAAATACCAATTACACAATATGGGACTAGAAGATGAGTAGGAACATTTCAAGTTCCTGTACACTGGTTTTCTTAAAAATTCTACTTGCACAACCTGAAGCAGCCCCCCCTCTGTTTTTTTTCCCCTCATCAGTTTGTAAGCGTTTCATAGAAATAATATTTTCTATCTAGCTATTGCTGACTGGCTCCTGGCTTCAACACAAGACTGATTACAGTGCCAGGAAATATTCCTAGGTTTTCAGTTCAATAGTAGCTGAGTAGCATAATTATTTTAGGAGATTAACCTTCATACCGTGGCAGATGGAGCTGATCCAGCCTACATGTCTACTATAGAGGACTAGCCAAACACACACGGTAGCCACACCAGACTACTACAGTCTCTTAGCAACTGTCATCTACTGATGGTCTTGCCTGATGGGGAATTAAGACTTTGTTCTGTCCCAGCATCCCTTCAGACAAAACTCTGGGACTTACCAGTACAGGAAGAAAATGAACAGAGGACTTCTTTCTTCTTTTCTTTTCAGGAGTTAATTCTGTGCTTGTTTCTTCTTTCCACTCTGAAACACTTCTTATTACTTCTCTATTTTCCATGATTTCTGGTTGAATCGTTCCTTATCTGTTTGTTGGCTGTCGAGGCTTTCTTTTTTTTTTTGTCTTTTCGTTGAGTATGGAGTATTACAGTGAAGCTGTTGTCTATCATGGATATTCCTGGACTTTGAATCAGCTTTGCAGGTTTGAATTGCACATATATGGAAAGAAACAAGTGGTGCTTCGGACAGCTAACTTTATTTTTAATTCACAGATAGTTGTTTCTGGCATTAGAAAGTTGATTCCCCTAATTGAGAGAGAATTAGCAGAGTGTGTGTTTCCCAGCGAACAAAACATGGGAGACTGGAACAAAACCTAGCTTTAGATCTCACTCACAAGGAATGCACTTGTTCAGTGATGTAGGATGTTGATAGTCCCTGCTGACTGTGCTGTAGAATATATAGTTTTACATTGTACTTATCTGTTCATCTGACCTGAAGCATTCGTGCCTGTGAGATTTCCAGAGTCTCACAGTGACTTTGTATACCATTGTCACCCTTACCCACACTTGTATTCTGGAGTTCTACACTCTAGTAAGTCCTTTATTTTAATATTTCTCGATACTCAAGCTGTTCCTAATTCTTACCTTGTAATATGTGTAGCGTAGGGCCTGACTACACAGAGAAGATGGTGTGAACTGAGGTAGGGTAATCTTTAAGCAGAACAGCTATTCCTCACTGAATGTCTTTGTTTTAACTTAATCCTATCATAATGTGGATGGAATACTCACTGCATGGCATAAAAGTGTCTGCATGAGAAAATATTATGCAATAGCTACTCCACGCGGCTTCTCCATATGAACAATTTACTTGTTTGTCTCTCCAGCACAGCTGACAACAAACAATCCTGAAATGTCACGCTTTTACATTCTCATGATCCAATTTTCATTCTTTATCTTTCTAATAGATCCATAACTGGAGCCAGGAATATCTGAGAGGACTAATTATACTGCAGCCATAAAAATTCTCTTTCACTCTTTTGACCACCTCTCTTTTTGAATCTTTTGATTCCCCATCAGTTTAATAAAGTTAATGCTTCTCCTCCTTTTCAGATTATTAAAAAATACTATTTGTTGAAGGCTTTTGTCTGGAATATTAATCAACTCTGCTCTTTTCTAGCCTTGATGGGGAAAAATGTCACAAATTAATTCCTCAAGTGGTATTAACATTGCACGCTCTTGGCAGAAATTCACCTCTCAGATGTTTCATTTTCAATTCCTTGCATGTTTCCTTGCGTGATCAAAACTGACTGAAGACCCAGTAATGCATATCAAGGGGCATATACTTTTGCTAACCTGAGTTCAGCTGATAGCATAATTTTGTTACAAGAATTTTTCTGTAGTTTTCATGCTATGGATTTCTCCTAGCTGTATAATGGGAGACATAAATTGTCACACTTGTGCTGATTTCAATTTAGTTTAAAATGAAGTCATGAAGACTTCGTAATTTATTCCTGCAGTTTTGTCAGCTCAACAACATGTAGGCCAAAACTGGAAATGTTAAAGAAGCTGACATTAATTTGGTGGGTATTCCAAAACATAAGAAGGAGGATATTTTGTAAGAGATGACAGGAGGAACTATGTACAACTCATACAGTCTTTAATGAATTTGTAGTTACTACTTGATCTCCTCACTAGTCCTCTTTTGAAGTTCCACTATGCTCATATTCAATTAAATGCTTCTGTTATCTAAAATCTTTTCGTATTCATGTTATTAAATAACTAACAATGTAAGGAAATTTCTCTTTTTACTAGAAAACATTGAATTTTGCTGAAATATTTTATACTTTAGTACCTTTAAGCTTGGCAAAGTAAGAAAATGGTTTAATTTTTATGCCTTTTTTTGGAAGCATACTCAAGTTTTTAAGTGAATTTTTTAAAGAAAACAAAAGCTGTAATTTAATACGGGCTGTCTTTCATTTCTTACAATGAGTTTAGAAAACTAAAATCTTTTTTAGATTACACTAGCAGCAATGTATGTGAAAACCTCTTGGATTGCTATTCCATCACCAAATAAGTTATCACACTTTGAAAACTGTCTTAATTTGCTTAGGTCAAGCATTCTTCATAATATTTTCTTAGCAGTTTACGTTAAAAAAATTTAAGCATTTCATTTCATTGCATTTCTCACCAGGCTTAACTGATACAGCTGTATTGCCAAGTTTAAAACTAATAATAGACACACTATTATTACGTCCACAGTGAGAGAATATCTCTTTTAGAATTTAAAAGAAGTAATCTTTTTCTTTGCTACCAGTAAGTATATTACTTAGTTATATATTCTTTGTGTAACTGAGTTTTGTTGTTTGCATTAGAATCTCGTCCTTTGTCACTTCCTGTGAAACCCATGCTGAACTCATCTGAAAGCTGCAGAAGTCCTGAAGAAAGAATGAAGGAATTTATTGGAATAGTGTGGAATGCAGTTAAGCGCCTTACACTTCAGGTAAGATGAAAAGGAAGTGGAAAAAACCCCTATGTCTTTCCAAACTTTATGATACTTTTTATGCATCCTAGTGCTTTTTATTCGAGGGTTTTTAAAGGAGCTCCCAAGTTTTATTGTCTTATTTCAGTAGTTTTAAAGTCTTAGAGAAAGAGAAATAAAATATAGATTTTTGGTATATTAAGCAAAGAATGCTTTGGTTTTAGAACATTAGTTTTCAATACACTTTTTTATATCTAAGGGGAAGATCCTTAAAAAAATTATATGAAAAAAAATGCTTGTCACACTTTTCTGTAGTATAAGCATAGCTATACACCTTTTTATCCGTAGTTGGATTTGCAGAATACCTTCCTTTCTAAAAATATTTGAGGAAAGTGTGTATGATAAATACTTTCTTGGGGTGTATGATACAGTATGGTGTTATACAATGATGGCTCAGCTGCTTATGTGTCTACCTTTTCATAAAGGACGAGTAGATGTCCACTTGGATTAAACCATTTCATGCTAGACTGCTCTAGATTGTGACCGCTAATCAGTAAAAGCAGAGTTTTCATGTAGCAGTATATATGCATACTATACACAAAAAAGGCCATGTTAGAAGTCCAGTATTAACGATTGCATGATCAAATACTGGATGGTTTAGAAATGCTAGAATTAGGACTCCTTTCTTCCAAGTATATATCAAGTGCCTGCTTAGAAATTACCCTTAGAATTATTATAATCTGTGCCTTTTGAACAGTATGTTCTGAGACTGGTATTCTACGGTACACCAGCATATAGTAGCAAAACTGTTTTTGTGTTAAAAAAAAATAAAAATACAACACCCCCCCCCCTATTTCTGACAAAGTAATCATTGAATGTTCCTTCTGTTCCTTCTTCCTATCAAGAAATATATTTATTCATATACAGGCTCATCCCAGAACCTGTGTCTGTTTTCTTCCTCTTTCATACAGAAAGCACTTTGGGTTCAAAATATTAGAAAGTTTGAAAATTTAAGTTTTGCCTGAGCAAGAACTTCAGACTTGTGACTTGATTGCAGAACATACTGAAGTTGAGGATATGCTTTCTATTAAGTCTATTTAGTTTTCAGCCAGCTCTTTCATCATTATTTCATGAGTATTCCTTCCTTTCTTGATGTTGTCTCCACTGGAGATTAAAATGGCTAGATAAGGGGAGTCGAGAGAGAGAATTTGTAAGTTGTCTGAAGGAAGCAGTGTATTTTTGTTACGTGTCTGGGTGGTACCCAACACAATGAGAATCCCTATATAAATGAGGCTTACAGTCTGAGTCATAGTAAAAGTAATAATATAATAATGAGAATGATGAAGAGCTGGATCCTTTATAAATGGGGAAAATTGAATCAGGACTAAGATATTCTGCTTGTACATTTTTCAAGGTATGCTTTGTTACGTGAGCAACCAGCAAAGTGAATTTGTTTCAAAGAATGGTTAAGATACTGACCAGCTAAAAATGAAGTTTGCCTGTTACCAAATAGGAAAAAAAAACAACCAGGTTGTGTTCAAGCTAGTGGGGTTTTTTGTGGAGATGCAGGCTGATGACAGTGATAGGCACATGTTTTCTCAGAGAGTATTTTGTAAGTATATTGCTGCTCTGACATAATACACTCACGGATTAGAGCTAATACTAGCAGAGGATTTTTTTTTTTATTAGATACTCCTTCTGGTGTTTGAGGATCTAGGTTTATTTACTCTTTACAGGGTTTTTTGGTAAGGTACTCATGCTTTCAGTTTTCATCATTACGAATATGAAATTATATTTTTAGTTTTTATCTATGTTGAAATTAAATGGCCCTACAAAATCATACAACAGTTTACACACTTGTCATATGTTTCATCCTTATGCTTTGATCATACTTGGTAAAGTATATGCCAGTATCTTGCCAGAAGGACATTACATGTTACCAGTGAAAAGTTTCAAAGATTCCAAGGAAACACCACAGGAAAAGTCCAAGAACATGCTTCCAAACAAATATGCAGTAGTCCTTCTTAGTGAAATATGAAGGATTTATAGATATGCTTGTGGTTCTTTTTATTATTGCTAGTAGTCCCTAAGTCTATTTTATTTAAATATATCTTTCAAGACACAAATGCATATATATATATAGCTTTTTTTCCTTCAATACCAGCCTAAATGGGAAAGGTGAAATTTGTGCAAGGCCATGTAGAGGATAAGATCATGAGGGTTATGGCTCTGTTTTTCGATTCAAGTACAGTATGATATATTTATTTTATCAAACATAATACGTATTTCATTAAACACAAATATATTTATATTTTTATAAATAAATTATAATAAATTATAATAAATTCATACAGATTTTCTGTATTTTATTATCATTTGGCATGAAAAAAGCCAATTTCTAGAATATTTTGTCTGGTTAAATGCTGGAGCACTTAGACTCTAAGGTTTTTCTAAAGCTATTTTCATGTTCCTGGTTCTTTTATTAACATGATTGTAGAACAGAAAAGTCTGTAGTTGTCATCAGATAAAACAGAACTTCATAACTTAAAATCATCAAAGGATTATTCTTTTAGTGGAAGTTTGAGTGAGTAAATGTGTTTGGAACCAAAGTAACTGGAAAGTTTGTTTTGGATCCAAAGCTGGTACTTGCTTAGCCCTAGCCCTGGCTTGCTCATGATAGAATATTGCATGAAGATTTTGTGCATGGGAGTTGTGGTAAGCTATTACTATTTAAGAGAAAAGACTTTCATACTTAACTATAAAAAGTTGTTTTTATTATTTAGTTGTTGTAGGATTTTATATGCAGCCTTGAAGTCTTTTTGGCAGTTACACTGTGTAGGAGGGTAATACTCACTTTTCACGTGTTCTTCATACTAATAGTTGCTAAAATTGTGGAGCAGTATAAACACAATTATTTTTAATTGGTTGTTAATGCTGAATTCCAGTGAGAATAGTGAAGGATCTGTATTAAAAGCAAATGAATTAATGAGTAATGTTGCAATGAATGCCAACTAAATAAGAGTGTAATTATTACATATAAAACCTAACCAGATATTCCACATGCCTTTAAATATCCCTGAAATTATTTGAAAAAATGAGTCTTGTTTCCTGAAATTATTGAAAATAATATTTTCTTTAAAGCATGTAACTTGTACAAAATTTTAGTCAAAGTGAAACATTGATTGAAAGAACAGAAACGTAAGGATGAGATTGACTAGAGTTCCTGTTCTTTGAACAGTGGTCTTTATTCATGGGTCAGGAAGAGATTCTGTGACTTATAACTTAGCAGTTACAGCTTTCAGCAGTTATTCAGCAGTTATGAGATAGGATGATTTCTTAAGTTGGTTACTTACCACAAACTGACAAAAAATGAAATTTTCCTTAACTAAATAAAAGCTTTTTAAAATCAAGCTTTCTTAGAAAAGAATAAGAATACTGAGTAGTGCTAAGACATTGTGTTTTAAGTGGTCAAAGAAAATGCAGCTGATCCTTACTATACTCATTTGTATGTACAGGTAGCCTGCTCTCTTAGTTCTCTTACTCACGTGCTCTGCTTTCCATTTATATAATTTTTACTTTTTGTCTAACTTCAAAACATGAATTTCTGGCCGGCCTTTTTAAATTCTAACAAACAGTGCGTGTCTGGCTCAACTGCAGATGGTCTAATTGGGTAGAGCTAATCTGGATGTCAGAGGCTGAGGTACGGTCTTAAAATAATGACCGCACCAGAACCCCTACATAAGATGTGTAACAGTGGTTCTTTGCAGTTTCGGGAGTCGTTGCAAGATTATATTCTGTATCTGAAACTCCCAGAAAAACACATTAGCCTTTCTGATGAGAGCATATGATGGATGATGTTTAATGCGGAGAGAGGCCGCTTCCCAGGAGACACCTTTATGTGAGTGTCACCTTGTGGGTCATCTTCAATGCCTCTGATTGGTTTATATAGCTATAAAATGTGGTTAGGGAAGGGAATCTCTTTATGGTATCATTATTATGAAAGGCTCTAAAGACTCTTGTACAGCCTGTCCTTCGTCATTGCACTTGTGCAGGATAACTATTGTGTGTCACTTGTTTTGTTTCACTCCCTCCCACCCACCCTCCTCAGTTAGGAAGACCTAATTCTTTTGTAGTATATATTTCACTGTTCTCTCTATTAAGCAACATTCCCTTTTTATAAAATATGAATTAAAAATACTCTATTTATTCCAGTAACGTAATACTTTCCTTTTGATACAACAGAGAGCTTAAAGTCGTTGCACTTTTTTAGGCTTATGTATTAGTAAAAGCTTAGAGCAATACGCTTTGCGTAACTTTTTAAAAGTAGAAGGGAAAATAATGCTTACTTCGTTGGTTTATCATTAGTGTATGTTACTTAGCCTGTATAGGCCTTGACATAATAGAAATGAAAATAGGGGGTGATTCTGTTTCAAGAATTTGTAATAATTCCTTCTCTTTAACACATTAATGTGTTCAGTATTGGCAAAAGAACACGTTGCTACCAAAACTGAAATAAGATCCTTGAAACAGAAAGGATGTTGCCATGGAAAAATGAAGTAACACTCAGTGCAGCTGTGAAGCATTAATGAATAGGATATTTTTTTAAAAGATCATTTGTGTTTGGTGTGGCTTGGAGGGTCCCAACCAGATGGTTTCCATGAACAGGATCTGACCCCCAGCTTGAGGACTTCTTACTGGCAGATTACTTCATTTTCTTTCCCTTGGATTGTCAGATCCTTACATTAATGCAAGATTTACTGCTGCAGGTTTATATTCAGTTACATAAATCAGTCACATTTTACATTAAATTCACAATTTTAGACACACAGTTTAACAGTTATTTAAAAAGTGTAAAAAGATTTATATGATACCTTTAATATATGCTATTGATGTCATTTTATTTTAAGATATTTGGATTACATATATTTTAAAGCACTTTCTGATTGGTGAAGCAATCTGTAGCACACATTCTCACTTCTGTCCAACATATAATGCCATCATTTTTGGTGTGCTCTTCCATTCCTTCACTGGAACTTGTTATTAGACAGATCTCCAGATTCTGTCAGATAAACCTACACGGATTCCATTGAAGTTGATAGTTGTGTTTAAGTAGAATCTGCCTCTGAGAAGTTCAACAGGTGCAATTCAATTTTGCACTTATTGGGCCCTTGTGCATCCAAGTTGGCAATTTCGCATGTAATTGTAATAATTGCATTATTTGCCCTAAAATGTGGAATTTTGCCATATGTTCATTGTGTTGGCCTTTGAAATCCTGCAATAGTTTTGCAAAATTTATTTATTCATATAAAACTTTAAATGAAACACAAGTAAGCAAACCATATCTGTAAGCAAATCTGTAATATGACATATGGAGGGCCTGATGCTATCATGTAAACCCCACCAAAATTCATGGTCCAACTCCCATTCAGTTGTTTGAAAATAAATGGCAAAGTAATGCCTATGTAAACAGGAATTTTCTTCAGGCATTTGAAGGAGTGAAACTGTTGTGATTCCACTTCAATATTCTTGATACAGCAAAGTCAAATAAAAAAAAAATGATCTGAAGAACTTGTCTTCAGTACAAAGCTGTACTGAACTGTAAATTAAGTGTAAAAATTCTACTGAGTATTGAGATCTCTTCTCAAGAGTACTTTGTAAAACATCTCCTGTAGATCTTGCTGCTGGTAATGTGATGAAGTATAGTATCTCTCCAAGTTGGTGGAATTTTTGGATTATTATTACCACATGGTTTGTATATCCAGGCAGCATTTGATGTTAATCATCATGGGGAGAGAGAGAGAGAGATATGAAGAATGGATGATTTGTTATAAACTGTTTACTCAGGAAATGCAGTGATAAAACAAAAGTTATACTGATCATAAGTTCCTTTGTCATCTATTTATCATTATCCCACAATGGCTTGACCTGCAACCTATTACTAATAGACCAGAAAACGATCTAATGTGTCACTGTAAAAATCTTTGCAAATTGACACAATGACTAATTTACCAGTTAAAAAAAAAAAAATCCAAATCTATTACATCTGTAACAATACACTGTTGCTTTTCATCCAGTATAAATAAAGTACACTCTGCAACCTTGGATCAATAAACTACTTATCAAAGATGTAATTAACTTCATTTTACAACTCAAACAGTTCTAAAACTAGAAACAAACACAGACTTCATGTAACAATGTATTTATTTTTGCAGAATTCTACTTATATTTTTCTGCAGTGAATTCTTGTCAGTTTGTCTAAGCAAAAGGGCACAAAAATGCTGAAATAAAGATGAATATCTGTGTTCTCCTCACTAGGCTGGCAAAGTACTTATGGTGCTGAGGAATTCCGGCTCTATTGCAAATCACTATTGCGGTCTTGAGGGACTGTTAGTCTTCAGGGGAGGGTATGGAGTACAAACCTTGGTTATCAGTTTTAAGCAGTGATGTCTTTAATGATGTCAAATTGAAAGACTCTGTTACATAAGTTTACAGCAAACAAATGTTCTTTTATCACAGTTACAATTAACATCTTGTGTCCAACATTTTGTACACTAGACTTTTCCAAACAATGTGAAGAACTGAACTGAATCATAGTTTGTACTAGCTTAACAAAGCGTTCAAGTGTGCAGGCTGTTAGGGCTATTTGATATCCAGGTGCAGAATATTACATGTAAGAGCCAAGGAAGACTAACAGTCTGCAGCTTATACCGCCTCTGAGTTAACAAGTAGTGGTGAGTTCAGTTCATGGTTTGGGCTCACTCAGCCTCGCTAGAAGCTCATAAGGAGATGGCAGAATGGTCAGAAGTGTTTCGGGGAATGAGCATTGCTTGAAAATAAAGAACAAAAAAGTACTATTTCATATGAAACCATATGCACTACTTCTGATTTACAATGAAAACAGGACAAAAGCTGTATAAACTTTGTGAACTTTATTCGTTTCTCTTTGTGTATGTATGCACCTATCCATTTGTTTTAAAGTCAGTTTTTCACTAAAGTTTATATTTTTCCTCGTTTATCTGATGATTAACCTTTTTGTACATGCTCATTACTGTTGACTACAAACTAAAGACAGAATTTTCCCTGAAGTAGGTCTTTATAGAAGTCTTTATAGAAGGTAACAGTATATAAAATGTTGATTAGTTCTAGAGGCTTAGCTATTGCTAACAAAAGCTAATGAACTGCAAAAAGAGGGCTTTCTCAGCTTTATTGTGAGAATATTTTCTGACTCAATTACGCTTCTTGTAAAAAGCTGCTGAAATGTAGATAATAGATGTATATTCAGTTTATGTGGCAACACCTTTCTGGTCAAATTTACAGACCAAAATCACACTTCTTCTATCCTCTCCTCCCATAATCGTAGTTTACAAGAATATATTATTTTCCAACATTTTGTGTCATCTTTCCTCTTAATTCAACTAAAAGCTAAGACTATTTTCAATTGGCTGTGACGGATGAGTAACTTGAGATTTTGTACCAAGATGAATACTCCACATCGGGGGAAAAAAATGGTGATCTGTTTCTGAGAAATCTTTCTTGGCTTTGTTTTTTTCAGCTTGAAGTGCAATCTTGTTGTGTATTCCTTCCGAATGACAGCCTGCCTTCCCCAAGTACTATTGTATCAGGTGACATTCCCAGGACTGTGCGAAGCTGGTATCATGGGCAGGCCAGTATGCCTGGCACACTTGTCGTCTGCTTGCCCCAGATAAAGATTATGAGTGCTGGACACAAACACATGGAACCATTGCAGGAAATCCCATTTGTTGTGCTGAGACCCATCCTGGAAGAAGGTAATGTGATAAACTCAAACAAGCTTACTCTCCAATTTCCATTTTTAACTGTTATGAAAATTATCTTCATTTCATTTTGGAAACAACTGATGTTGTGCTGCTTTTCTGGCAGTATGCTATGTATTATTGACGGCTAGAAATACTAACGACAAGGTTTGCCCCACGGAGATCAAAGTGAAACTCATCATCAAAGAGCTAGTTTTGTGGTATGTTTTGTATGTTTGGTGAAGCCAAAAGAATTCAAAAGTGCGATTTTTACCTTCATTGGTTTTGTCATTCCAGTTCCTGTGTAGCTGCAAACACTCGCTTTGACCCAACAGGAGGGGGGCAGTGAGTTATGAATTCCAAAGCAGAATGGAGGCAGGTTAGGAAAAACTTCTCATGCCACCTTTGCTGGCAAAAAAAAAAACCTAAAAAAAAAAAAAAGTCTTGGATTTAACTTTCAGACTGGACGTTAGGAAAAGGTTCTTTGCTGAGAGGGTGTTCGGTCACTGGAACAGGCTCCCCATGGAAGTGGTCATGGCACCAACCCTGTCAGTTCAAGCAGCATCTGGACAACGCTCTTAGTCATATGGTTTAGTTTTAGATAGCCCTGCAAGGAGCAGGGAGTTGGACTTGATGATCCTTATGGGTCCCTTCCAACTTGAGATATTCTGTGATTCAATGTAAGATGAGAAAAGAAATTCATAAATATATAGCAGACTATCAAAAGAATCATAGAATCATAGAATAGTTTGGGTTGGAAGGGACCTCTAAAGGTCATCTAGTTCAACCCCCCTGCTGTGGGCAGGGACATCTTCAACTAGATCAGGTTG